AGAGAGAGAGAGGAGAGAGAGATAGATGGAGATGGATATGGAAATTGAGATGAAAAAAAAAAGGAACAGCGAAAAAATGTATGGTATTGGGTTGGTATGGTATGGTATGGTAAACTAAATTTCCAGCAAAACCCAACAACTGGAAAACTGGCATTCGGGAAATGGTAATCCAAATTGCCATGGCCCTGGAAAAAATAATTTACGTTTCTCCAATCCAACCAACCCGGCAAAGGGCCCCCTATGCACAGAACATCGGGTCGGAGAGTATGGAAATGGGCTGCTTGGCAGGCTCTGGGCAGGTAATTCCGCGTACCGTATCGACGATACCACGCTTGTGATGTGTGTGGTACACTGTAATTGGAAATCTTAGTGGGACAGCTCAATACAAGAGGAAACGATTGAAATATAAAGCAGCCCAGGAAAAAAAAATTGGAGCAGACTCAACTAGTGATTGATAACGAACTCCATACTGTGTCGGGATGTTCTTGAGGGGAAAGATATGTTCCAAATGAGTTATTGTAAGGATCAAGGTTCATGTATACAGAATAGATGGAATCGAGATGTATATGGTCAAGGTTCACCAGGCAAAGCTTAAGCGCCGGTTTGCGCACCCAAACCATCCATTGAATGAATCTATGGCAGCCCATCTTTGATATTTCTTCAGCAGTCCTAGGCAGAGGAGGAGGTTCCAGACAGCGGCACAATTTAGAACCATGTTCACGCTTTGGGTTTGAAATCCATGCCAACGGTGACTTCCTCCTGGCATCGTGTAGAAAACCTCAACACTGGAGGTACTAGTAATTCGAAATGGGAACCATTCGGTTCGCCATCGCAAAATGGGATAGCCAACTACCCATGTGTTATTCTGCTCTCGATATTACATTAGTTACCAGTATTGTATTTCTTAAAGGATGTGTTGTCTGAGAAATTTGGCTCCATGACACCAGAGCAAGAGAGACACACATAGTATACAAGTGCCACAGACTGAGGAGAACGCTGCCACAGGCGAAGTCAACATGTCCACACAGTCCCCCGGACAGTTTTTTGGTTGTCGCAAACGACCAGCGGCAGACTTGCAGACTGTCCCGATATGGGAGTCCAACCACGCTGGGCCAATTGCTGACCAAAGCTGCCCGGGCTAAGCCTCTCCGGGCCTTCCCACAGCAAACTCCGCCGCCAACCACAACCACTTCAACTTTCTTCCCGCTAACATCATCCAACATTCCACCTCACCACCGTCAACCACCACCACTACCACCACCACGACGCCTCCCACTCCTCTGCGACATACACGTCTCCTATCCTGTCCAATCCAATTCAATTGGCAAACCCCCGTCCCAATGTCGTCCTCCACCCTCTTCCGCATCGCCTCGCGCACAGCACCAGTCGGCTTCTTCAGAGCTTCCTACTCTGCCCGATCAAGAGTCGTGGCGCCCATCTTCGCTTCCGCAGCTGCTCCCGCCATTGTCGCCTTTGGGGGAATCCACAGCTTCAGCTCGTCTTCGAAATGCTCCAGCGCAGCTATGGGACATGAGGAGGAGACCTTTGAGGAGTTCTCTGCCAGGTAAGAAGGGTTTGCAACAATAAAACAACCATGTATTTATATATATATATATATTCCTTGGGATCAATTGCAAATGATGTGCCATTTTCATTCATCGTTTATGAAAATATGCAATATCTATTGTGATTCCATTTGGTGTAGGCCCCCACTAATTCCTAATTCCAATTGTTCAACAGATATGAGAAGGAATTCGATGCTGTACAGGATGTCTTTGAACTTCAGGTAGTGAAAACTCCCCAGCTCTCTCTCCTCCCCGAAATACAATCACCAATTGATGTCCTGGTCCAAAGAATTCAACACAATGCTAACAAAATCCCACCTGGGAATCATACAGCGAAATCTTAACAACGCCTTCGCCTACGATCTCGTACCCTCCGTCAGCGTCATGACCGCTGCCCTCAAGGCTGCCCGCAGAGTCAACGACTTCCCTACCGCCGTAAGAATCTTCGAAGGTTCGTTTGCTCCCTACCGACGATAAATATCCCACTTCCAATGTTTGCGGTTACATTTTTATACCCTCAACAAGTACTAAAATATGAATTGGTAAAACACCACAGGCATCCGAGCCAAAGTCGAAAACAAAGCCCAATACGAAATGTACCTCCAAGAACTCAAGGGTCTACGGGAGGAACTTGGTGTCACACTCCAGGAGGAACTATACCCCCAAGAGCAGAAATAAAATCACCACTGTTTCTCTTTCTGCATCTCCACTCCTTCCTCCTTTCTGTTCTTGCTTCCATTTCGAGAAGTTCAATAGCATTCCCCTACCCCCTCTCCTCTTGCTGCTCTTTCTCTGCTGTCTCTCTCTCTCTCTCTCTCTCTCTTCCTCTTCGTCTCTTCCGTATGTACTACCTCCATACAACCCAGTCGCGTCCTCACTCCCTCTTTTCCGCCTCGGCTAGACAACACGCACATTTCCAGCGGTGAATTGCAAACTGGAGACTGTGGCTACCATTGTTTCAATATATACAACCCATCCAACCGAAACACAAAACAGCACTAAAAACGAATAGAAAAGAAAGAAGTGCTAGAAAGGAAGAAGTTGGAAAAGCGCATTGTGGGAAGTGTGTACGTAGTTTACCTAGAGATGGAACCGGTTTCCAATTTCTGAGAGCGGTGACGAGGGGTTGTGTTGGCAAGAGGAATGAAAAAGGAGAGCGCAAAGGAAAAAAAAGAAGAACAGAACAAAAGAAAGGAAGGGTGGGGGGAGGAGGAAGAGGGAGACGTGGGGGACGGAAAAAATCTGCATATATGTGTAACCATATGAATCCATAACCATAAAACAAAAGAATTGGGAAGGGGGGCCGGGTTAGATGACGGGTCTTGTTTTTATATAAGTTTCTTTTTCAGTTACTTTATTTAACTCTTACTCCATTTTCATCTCAACCTTGCTATGTATGTTCGAACTTGTGTGTTTCTTTCTCCCTTTTCGACATCCATCCTTTTTTTTTTTTCAATTTTCTCTAGCAATCAATCGTAGCAGGGGGACAGAAAACGGGGAGGATGGAGCCATCTCCCTCCTAAATCTCTCTCTCTCTCTCTCTATTTAAATGTATATTTTTATCCTATCGCTGTAATGGAAGATACATTCATTTACACATAATATATCATTATTAGAATAAACTTCCCAATGAAAAAAAAAAAAAAAAAAAAAAAAAAAAAAAGGAAAAGGGACAACAAAATATGAAACCTAACATGGTAATAATAATTTTTACGTTTGAGGATAAGAGTACAAAGTCGGAAAATTCGTTGGGTTGGAAGGGGGAAAGGTATAATATAATAAAAAAATTTACGAATATATACTGTTATAATATTAGTGAAAAGATGCCACAGCCAAAGAAAGAGTATAATAGCTGTAACCAGAAAGATGGGATGGGATGAGGAGGTAAACAGTATGTGTGTAAGACCTCGGGAACTAGGCAATGAGGTTAGGAAACGAGGAGAGATAAGACACGCGGATAGGAAATGAGTAGGCATCGGAACCCCGTCCTTTTATCCCCGTCATTTTCTTTTCTTCCTCTTTCTCTGCTCCTGGCACATACCCTCTTGGATGTCCGTTATATATATATATATATATAAAATGTAGATCGCCCCACCACAATGGCTTCGTCTTGATAGTAGTGAGAGAGAGAAACCCTTCATTCCCACAGCGGCGGATGGATATACTCCGCCGCCCGATCCATCAGATTCGGTAGCGACCACTCCCCACTCGTCGTGCTCTCCGGGGTATATGGCTGGAGCGACTCAGCCTTCGTCGTATGGGCGACAGCCGCAGCAGCACACCCGATTGACGACGAGGGGAATCCGCCGTTAACAGTAGGAGGAGAGGCGGAGGACGCGGTGGATAAGGCGGTGGAACCAGCGCTGCCATTGCCAACGCCAACACCGCCTTGGACGACCATATGCAGCGGCACCGATGACGAGGCCTTTTTGTGCTGAAGCTGCATGCTGAAGACTGCATTGAGCCTTTGTAAGGCACGCAGCGACTTGATTAGGGGCTTTGCCCACTGGGTCTGTGTGTCAGCTGCGACAGAGATGGGGACAGGGGCTGTGGAGGCGATTGAGACGGACACTGGGTCATAGCTTGGAGTGGATATGTTCGTGATGCCATTGATCATGCCGGATTGCTCTACTTTGACAGGGCGGTATGCCTGTCCCGGGGAGGGTATGCCGGCGGAACCGGCTGTTCTTGGGGCCGGGTTGGTGGGGGGACTGGCATTCAGACCACCCTCAGACGTTGCACGTTCTGCTATGACTGATTCTAGCCGGCGGAGCAGTTGTAGAATATGAGCGTCGGTTTTGGATTCTCCGATTACGGCGAGGAGGAAGGCGGAGCTGATTGCTCGTTGAAGACCGATCCACGTTCGCCCTGCCTGGGAGTTGAAGGAGTACAACTCAGTGTAGGCTTCGATGGTGCGGGCGAGGGCGGCGATGCAATCCTTGCGCATGGTTACCCAGGAAGGGTCCTTGGATTCAGAGTTCTTCAATGAGGGTCGACAGAGTTCTGACGTCACGTATGATGAATGTAGTTTCAATGCCAATCTTTCGATATGGTCAAAGGGGGTGAGGCAGTGCGCCGGATCGCGAAGATGCGGGGCTGCATCTGACATGATTTTTTGAAGTTCGTCCCTGTAAGCCTGGATCACGGGAATACCCATTTGTGAGTGCGGTGACAGCATACGGCCCTTAAGAATTTCCAGGGTGAGTGAGATTATGCGGCTGAGCGTTTCGAAGTATAGGCGATGCCCTGGTTGAGAGGTCACATGGTAGGGTATATCAGGTTGGCTAAACGCCATTGTGGATGGCCTGTCATACGACAGGGAGAAGTGGCTATCTTGCCATGCCATCGACCACCTGTGCAAGTAAGTAAACAGTACGTCTCAACAACCCACAACGTGACCAAAGGGAATGGAGAATTCTTACCAGATTCTTCGCCGAATGTATCTTTCAGCAGTTGGAAACCTGTTTGATTCTACATGTAAACCCAAAGCAAGACCCATTCTTAGAGTCATACCTGTAAGAAGGAAATTAGGATCGTTTCACACTCTCAAGCAAATCGAAATGAAACCATGACCGTAGGACGTCACACCCACCTAGCAAAACGTATGATACACCGGGATTCATATTGTAGGAAAGAACGTTGCCAATAATAAGCAATGTTTGTATAGCTTCCAGCGTCGGCTGGGATAAGAAATTCGTCATTCGTAGAAATTGATACGAACAGCATACTAAACATGATTAGATCCTACTGTTTAAGGGAAAAAGAAAGAAGGAAGAGTCAAGAACTATGAGAGGGAGGGGATATTCAGTAAAAGAGCGTACCGTAAACCTGGGAGGTCAACTCCCTCTCCTTGCTAGGGAGATCAGATAATTGACATCCTGCAGCCAGTGCAGCAAACAGCAATCCAACAAAAGCGAGGCTCATCCCATAAGGCCTGTCCGTTACCTCGCTAGATTCTGGCTGAAGACCACCCCATAACGCTCTATTTTGAAGGAGGGTGCTCAAATTCTTTTGAAACTCTTCGATGTCCGGAATGACCGGATAAATGGTGGCGCTAATATCACAATAACGTCCAATGAACCTAACATAGGAGAACCCAACGGAACCACGAGGTTAGGAAAAAGAGTTGCCGCAAGAACAGAGAGGAGAACGTTGCCAAAAGAGAGAGAGAAAAACAAACCAGGAGGATCGGTAGTGGGGGGAAACATACATCTTGCACTGGTCATCGTCTGGTAAAACCGCGCAGACGGCACCCAGGTCAAATGTAGATGTATCAGTCGACCAGAGATCTACGAACGGATATGTAGCTGACTCATTATCGAGCCCCAGCTTTGGAAGAATTCCGCCTTCAAGCAACGCCTGGGAAGCCTCTTGCGAAGAGCCCGATCGACCAAGTAGATATGCCAAGACGGATCTCGAGCCCAGATGCACGGTCCCATTCCCAAGCTCATTCGACGCATGGATTCCTTCGCGGTCAGGAAAGTTATCCCCCGAACGACTAGCTGAACTGGCACTTGGTATCGTCGATGGGACGGCCTGACCCGATTCCGTCTGCTCGAGACCCATTCGAAGCGCGGAGATCATATTTTCCATTTCCTTCAACTTGGCACACACCGTATCCCATTCCTCCTTTGGAATCATCACTTTGCCCGTCGCGCTGGGAGCACCAATTTGAAGATCCGTTGGACTGATCCGGGGGTTCCCAGCCGGTCCTCCGTTGCTGGTTGCGGATGATGTTACAACAGCTGGGGCGAATGCATGGGCTGTTGCAATCTGCCGCTTCTTCGAGGGCCGTTCGTATGAGCATAGATCTGCATGGTCTCGCTTGACGCAGCCGTCACAGGGCAGGTTGCGGTCGCATTTGACCTTTCGGGTGTGACAAGGGTAGCAGGCTTTGGGTTCGCGTGCCTTGCGCTTCGTGCGGATAATCGCATCCACCTGTGCCTGGGGGAGCTCAGAGATGGGGTTCGAGAAGGAGGGAATCGGGGAGGGCGCCGCGGCACGAGTATTAAGTTGTAGAGACATCACAGATTCAGCTGGAAGAGTTTTATCGTTTGATGAGCAAACACATTGGACCCATGGTGATTTCAGGGATGGGCTTTATAGGAAACCCAGGAATTCGGCAGGCCAAGGGGTGGTTACCACGGACAT